GTAAAGGACCCACACAATCAATTACAACATGAGTAAATGGTTCATCAGGAACTACAATAGGTTGCAATGGTGCTCTAGGTACAGATTGATTTGGTTTACCAACAATTTGACAGGGTATACAGTTATGACAATATCTGACCACGTCTTTCTTTAACTTTGGCCAGAAAAAATATTTACTTATCTTATGGTACATATTCGTGATACCTTGATGACCTCCCATGGGATCATCATGTGCAGCCTGCAGGACCTGCCTACGATAATCATTGGGGACAACGAGTTGGGTTCTAATCTCACAATCCTCTGAAGAGGGAGTTCCCTTGGGTCTCCACCTTCTCATCAGAAGTCGATCCTTGAAGAAGAAACCCGTCCCTTCCTCCAATGCATCAATATTATCAGGAGCCTCAGAAATACACTTACTTAAACTAGGATCAGTAGTCTGTACAACACTTAAGGGCAATGACTCAGACTCAGCAGCGAGCGGGCAAGAACCTAGTAGCTTGATCTCTTTTCCCGATTGATCAGAATAAAATGGAGTCATAGCTACTTCGGCCTCACTCTCGACAACTGGCGCACTGGAGACAAGCGGGCAAGGTACAGATAGTTCAGCCTCCTCACCTTCACTTTCCTTGTGATTTAGGTTCGGCGGGGCTTCTACTACGGCCTCACTCTCATCATCCAGTCGAGTCATAAAAGAATCCTCAAGATCCACCTCCCACTCCTTTACTGAAGGGGTCCTGGTCTTGGGAACAGCAACCTCAGTGAAGACAGGATTACTCTCACCTGTTTTTCCCATTGATCTAGTAACAACACAAGCAGGGTAAATAATATCATCATCTGCTTCCGGTTGAGCTAATACATTATGGGGTTTAGTTAACATGATGGGACACTTGGGCCCTACAACCATTTGGTTGCCAAAATCATTACCTAGAATAATGTCTACCCCAGGAATGGGCAGTTGTTTACTTACACCAACATTACACCATCCTGAAGTATATTTAGAATCAAGGTTAACTTGCAATAAGGACACTGGTTGCACACTACCGGCAATACCCTGGAGAAGCACAACTTCACCCAGATCTCGGGTGTCAACATCATCAAGTACCTTCTGGGTAATAAGAGACTGTGAAGCTCCAGTATCACGGAGTAATTGAACAGTCTTATGTCTACCATTAGTACATAATAAGGTACCTGTGGAAATATAGGGTTTGAATTCAGCCATCCAATTGGGACTGACTGTAATACATGAAGAATTAATAGGTTGCACTCCTTTACTCATAATAAGACCAGTTGGTCGGAGTTCAGGATGCAAACTAAAACATGAAGAAATCACATGCCCCCTTCTCTTACAATGGGTACAATGTTTGACAGTGGACACACTGGTAGAACCAACTGCCGGTTTAGAATTAGCATTACTAGGCTTAGATGATCCTGGCAATGGAGTAACCATCTTAGGGTTAGTAAGAGAAGAGTTCACGGGAGTAACTGTCGCACCAGGAGGAGACTTATACTGATAAGGAGTACGGTGAGCATTGAAATTTACTCTACGACTAGACTTAGGTGAAGTGGCCGTAAACGGGGCCTTAGTCAGCAACTCATGCTCATCCGCGAGCTTTGACAGCTCATCAATATCGGTTACATTCTTTTGTTCTGCCATAAAAGTAGACAACTGGTCTGGAAGACAGGACAATACTTCTTCCATTATGAGAAGATTCTTTAGAGCATCAAAATCAGTGACTGCAAGTGACTTTAACCATCTGTTGCAAAAATTCGTCTTCTGACGAGTAAAATCTGCTATTGTCTGATCCCTGATTCTCCTTAGGTTCCTGAACTTTTGCCTGTGTGCCTCTGGATTTAGCTGGTATGCATTGAGGATGCTTTTCTTTACAAAGTCATAATCAAAACTATGAGCGTCAGGTAGGGTTGTGAAAACCTCCTGACTACGCCCCTTAAATTGAGACTGCATAATGGCTACCCACTGATCCCTTGGCCAGTTCATACTGATGGCAATTTTATAAAAATGTGCAAAGAAAACCTCAGGATCTTCCTCATTGAACTTGGGCAACTCTATATACTTATTCATCCTGATGGGATTATTATCACTATTTGTTGAAACATTACTAGTATTTCCATGCCCAGCTGCCATACGCTGTGATTCAAGCCTGAAGTTAGTGTCAGCCATTTGTTGTTGAATCTCTAATTGTTGCTTCTTTGTGGCTTCAAGTTGCAACTCAATTAAACCTCTCTGGTTTTGTGCCGCAATTTCTAAACGCCTAGTCTCCAGCTCCCTTTGCTGAGCTTCAGCCTCTAATATTTTCTGTTCTTTTTGAGCTTCAAGCTCTAATTGGCGAGCTTCTAACTCAAGACGCTTTAACGTCATCTGATCACTCGACTCCTCTCTTAACTCCTCTAGAATTTCTTCATCTAACTCCCCATTCTCAACAAAATGCGTCACAATGACTTTCAATATTTGGGCTTTAACCATTCTATTGCTGGCGGTCAAATCCAACTGATTTGCCATTTGTATTAACTCAGTCTTTTTAAGGTTCTGAATCCCTTCAAAGTCTGGGTGAGCCACCAACGCTGCAACTTTCTCCTCCATCGTTACTAACACTTGGCACTTGATTCACAAAAATAATTAACACAATGGCACTGCACTACACTTCACTGTAAAATTGTCACCACACTGAAAATTCGCTTGGCCTCACTGCACAAACAAAATATATAGGATGACTTACCTCAAAATCGTGAAACGTTGTTACTTGACACACAGGAAGGCTTGCTTGGCACATGGAATAGTTCTTAAGAAACACACAGAGACACTTGACACACTGGTACCTAGGAAGGCAAGGTTAGATTAGCATAGTTAAGTTAAAGTGGGACAATATTTCCCGGCACAGGCCCCCATAACTCTTTGTTACCTATCGTACGTTACGGCTCGTGATCCTACAGCAGCCAAACTTTAATAAGTCTAGGGATACGACACAACTGCTGTTCTCAATAGCGAATCACCAGTATAACCCCTTAATAAGTAATGAGCACAAAAATAGAATCTTCATAGGACTGAAGAATAAAGACACTAAGTATATATATATAACATTATATTAAATAAATCTCAAAGGCAAACAGATGATTATATGGTCACAATATATATCACATTAAAAATATCACTGTAACTTCCAGACATTAAATCAATAATAATAATAGGTATGGCTATGACAGAACAAATGAACTTAACTTCAACAGTTGTTATCTCCCTGGTTCCTGCTCAGCTACTGAACTACATCACGCGAGTCAAAAAACAGATTGCCTTGCCCCGCGAATAAATTGCCAAAGTTACAATATTTATTATTTCAACAATGGAGCAATACATTGTGACAAGAGTAATCTTAAACTAACTTAATGAATAATTAGTACATATTGATATTCACAAACAAAGTACGTGTTTCTTTACATAGTAATTAAAATATGCATACAGAAGGAAATAATGGCATGCACACCCAGCAACGGACGATCCCACGACAATTTGCCAGATACAGTTCACTCAATTATTATTTCACTCTGTTACCCACTTATGATCACATATAAATCATTAGTTCCCGTGGGAAAACTGATCACACAAAGAAATAAACAATCATTCCCACGATACGTTGGGCCTAACGCCAACACTGTAACATGAATGTGCATTTGCATAGAACATATAAGTATAACAATATACATGCTTGTAATTTACATACAATTATAAATGTACATATTAATATATTTACTTACGTATCTTATAAGGGTACGTAACAGACCTATCCCATATTCCCAGTAATATTTGTACCCAAGCCTGACCGGAGTGACTCTGTGTACATGCGGCTCAGGCTTGGGTACAAATATTACTGGGAATATGGGATAGGTGTTCATGATAATGACACGAAGTGTAAACTATGTGGTATGTTAAGGTCTCACACCCTTGCCCATTATGTTCTTGATTGTCCGTTGATTAATGTATATAGAAACACTGAGATAAGGACTGTTCCTGAGCAAATAGCCTGGATGTGTCACAATGGAAAGGTTGATGATATTCTTGAGAGATATAAGAATTTTGCACCAAGACTGTAATATTTTGTTGAATTATCCGTATAACTAGGTCATAAAAGTATTTGTGTACGTCTGATACCATACTACTTGTGAAGGAGGAAATGTACATGTTTATCTCTCAGAATGTTTGGTAACAGGTTTATTGTTTGTGATGTGTGTCTATGTATGTACTAACACGTTGTACTGAACGGGGTGAGAATAGCTTGAGCTACCTCATCCCTTTGTGTGTATTTTACCTCAATAAACTTATTTCAATTTCAATTTCAATTTCAATCTCACTAACAAGTGTCAGCATCCTGTCCAGAAGTGCAACCTTCGTGCCGAGGACCACCACTACTCCATCTGCTAGTCAAAAACTCTATGCTAACTGCTCTGCAAAAGCGATCACCCTGCAATCTCTCACCGCTGCCCTCGCAAAGAAGATATCATCCATAACTAAGAGGAAGCTAAATCTACCTACTAACCATCAGCCATCGCCAGGCAATCGTCCTTCAACGTTCAAATCGCCATTTTTTCTGAGCTCCCGGGAGGATGAGCCGCCGCACAACCCAGCAAATGGGGGCCGAGCATCCAGCCCGCCAGCCACTCACCCAGCCGCCGCCACCATCTCACCCCGGCCAATCACGAATTTCCCCACAGCAGATGCCGGTTCTCAACACACTGTACAGTATTCGCTATGCTATATCTGCTGTGGCTGATAAGATTTCCGTCTCCAACTACCGGGAATTCGTGAGGATTCTCAACCTCCTCTATAATGCAAACGACTTCCCGACTCTCACTCTTCCAGAGAAAGTCTTCTCCACCTCTACTTTAGTTGTAAATTCTACTCTGGCTCCTGACACAGACATCACTATGAATGCTGGCGTGCTTACAGATCTCGACGATGACTCTCCATTAGACAATGCTCCTGCCACTTCATGAAGAGTACTACCGACGTTCTACAGACTGCCGGTACGCACACTGAACCTTCTACTCCAGCTGTAGTTACAGCTACCACTCCGCAGCCCTCTTCACGACCTACTACTACTCTTCCTTCAAGGAACACCGCCTCAGCTTTTGATGCAACCATTTCGTCAGCTGAAGAGGTACCAGTTGGAATACCATTCCTTCCTCAGCGGAAGGTTAACTACGGACCTGAAGATTTCCTACTAGACACCACACCTACAACCTCGAACGACAGCACAGCTATGTCAACAAGAAGTAAGACTACTAAGACTTCCGCAGTGTCCAAGAAGACCAACGATCCAATTTTTCTCAAAACTGCCAGAAAAAAAGAAGAGCTGTGTTGTCTGAAGACCTGGGAATGAAGAATGAAAACCCAAGAATGAAGTAACACCAACGACTACCAATACCTACAATCAGCTACCATTAACTAACAGCTGCTTGCGAGCCCAGCGGCTGTGTGTACTGCAAAAAACGCCCCACTCAGCCTTACTGGAATTTACCCAAGTTCAAATCCACGGTGGTTGGGCTACCGATCTTTATCTCCCCTTCCACCTTGATTACAGATCCTCGCTCAAGCTTTCTGCATCTCTCGTCCCCGTTCTCCCATTCCCTGCTTACCCGCATTATGGACGTTTTCAAAAACTGGAACACATTTGGTCGGATTTAACGTAAGGTTATATTCAGCACTTCATGATTCACATATACTCTCCCATTGACTCTTTCAGCCATGGAAAAAGATGGGCAGCAAAAAATTTAGATGTGATAAATTTTGTTGAGGAAATGACTCCATCTCATTGCTACTTATTTTTTTACCTGATTAGAAAAATACATATATCTAGCGATAACAGGACACTTTTCTGCTTATTAATTATCTAAACAATTTGAAGGGTTCAATAGTGTCAAATGCTTTGGAATCACCAAGATATGAAGAGAATAGAGCTTCCTTTTGAGTTTAAGCACTGAACGGTTTCCACTATGAATAAACTACATAGAGTTGTATTGCAACCAATTTTGTATGCATATTGAAAGTCAGATTTCTACTTAGTAAGGTAGAAAGTCAACCAGTATGTAATCAAATACTGTGTTGCTTATTAGTATGTTTAGGGCAATATAGTCCTTGGAATGGTAATATGAACAGAGGTGTTTATTACAGTGGCGATACACAGCCCGTCTTGTGGTTCCCCAACATCAAGAAACAGTCGTACTAAAGTGCCCCATATCCATAACCTTCCAGAGAACTCAAAACAGAGAACGGGACAGTACGTCACTTTCGCGAGCCGCTTCCATTTTCTAGTGCGACAATTTTTGGCCTTAGGTAACGCATAGGAGCGAAATGTGACTTTTTATTGTTATTTTCATCGCTAAATTATATAACTTGTTGGCAACAGATTAGCACCAAAGCAGTCAATGCAGCATTTCAAACATCTCGTAAATAAAATGTTATTAGCACAAAATGACTTCAGATAAATTTAATTAACGGGGCAAAGAGTAGTTGCAGCTCGCAACATTTCAACTATCAAGTGATGTATAAATCAGAAATTAATATTATCACATTAATAATAATAGTAACTCCTGATATGTACTCAAGAAGTGTAACTTTTCAGCCTATCCTCCTGTTAAGTAGTACTTATAGTAATGATGAAAACCATTGTTCATTTATTGACGTAAAAGACAATTAGAAAGTAGAAATCGGTACTATTGAATATAGACAAACCAGAAAAGTTTTTGTACTGATGTTGCAAAGGAAATCTAACTTAACCTAACTTTCCTAGGCCTAATATACGCTATCTGAGGCCTAATATAGTACAAATAGGTTCTATACTAGGCCTAAGAAAATTTCAGTTTGGTTTTTAGCTACAATTTGTTTCGGACATAAAGAGAGAATAGTACCCATTTGTACTAATTGTCCATTAAGTCTATGTATGCACAATACCCCAAATATTTACAAAAAGTACTATCTAAATATAAGTGGTAGAAAATAATAATAATAAAAAAAAATCTAAATATGAGGATAGGTTGAACTATTTGTCTTTCGAAGCACTGTAATTTTTCCTCTGTAATCGACACTTATGCTATTCATATATTATTTTTCGCAAATTACCTAGACATCACAAGTCATTGCAGATAGGACCGCGATAAATTTTTACATAGTATAATTCATATGGTAATTTTTAAAAAATACACGAAGCCTGTTACATACATATATCTAGCAATAATAAGACGCTTCGGAATGTTTTCTCTTTAGTTAGAGCTTATGTTAATTAAATATTATTTTTTACAAGTTACCTCCACGTCAGCAGTCACTGTGAATAGGACTGAGATATTTTTGTTTGTATTTATCCAATATCTTCCTTTTTTGCTAGTTTTATATATTAAGGTAATTGACTCGGGAGAAATCACTTGTCATTTCCTCAAAAGTGGTAAATCAAAGTCGATCATATGCTTGCAGCATCGACTTATATAGCGTTTTTTTATTATTATAATATTTACATTCCATAAAAAAATTAAGTTTTTCAAGTTCTACATTTATTATCATAGTAAAACATTGTTTCATTTATAGTTTCTTACATATTTACAAGGGTTATATTTTTTGAAGGTTTTAGAATATTTTGCTGATGGATTTGAGTAATTCTATCATTGTAATTAAATGTTTTGTATATGCTCAACTTTCGAAAATTCATCTTCTTTTTGCACACATTAATTTACTCTATAATGTGAGTTGCTTAATTATTTATAGCTAAAAAGCATCAACCCTCGGAGGGGAAAATTATCTTATTAAACTAATGTGTTTATAATTATAGGGCGACCAGAAGAACATTATATGGCGGTAATAACACTCTGGCTTACAGGTGTTTATATTCAACATAGACCTTATAGACTGGTACTTAAAGGGTCATTATCATAATTTCATTGTTTTAATTGAAGTTATTTCCTGGAGGGCTTTGTGGTTGTGAAGTGACTGCTGTCAATCAAACAAATATAGATCAGTAACATAGTTCAATATAGGCGATGAGTCACAATAACGTGGCTGAAGTATGTTGACCAGACCACACACTAGAAATTGAAGGGACGACGACGTTTCGTTTCGGTTAATAGGAGCTGCCTCGTATGGGCCAATAGGCCTGCTGCAGTTCTCATTACTACTATCCCCTACACCTGACTTTCCTCCTCAGCTCTCTCTAGCCTATTTAATGCCTGTCCCTACCTGTCCTCATCACAATCGACTTGAGAATGGTCCAGGACGGACCGAAACGTCGTCGTCCCTTCAATTTCTAGTGTGTGGTCTGGTCAACATAGTTCAATATAATTCGTGGGTTGTTAAAACATTATCTGTGTAGGACAAAGTTTGGTACATCTCTAATGATATTAAATGCCAGTCCGGAGCTCAGGTGATAAATAAGTTTTATTTTTTTTTTTTTTTTTACATGCAAAGCATGCAATTTAAATACAATAAAAATACAGAATACATAAAGGAAAACAAGAGACCACCGGCCAGAAGGGCCGACAGCATAGCACAACAAAACACATACACAAGAAAAACATGAAAAATACAGCATACATCAAAGCACAAAACAGAATACAATGGCAAACTAGCAATCACAGTAACATCACAAAACAACACCTCCATAAAAACAAAGCATACATCAAGAGGCAAAGCAGTAAACATAAGAGGACAAACACAATACTGTCCAAACAAAACATAAAGAACAAACACGTACAACAGGAAAAGCAATATAAAAATAATACAGTAACAAAAAACACACACCACTCTTCCGCCGGGAATCGAATGCAATACGCCTCCCAAAGTAACATAAGGTCCTGCGAAGGCCAAAATAAACAATAACAATAAACAAGCAAACCACGCACACCTGAAAACAAAACAGGCAGAACAAGACACTTCAGCACAAAACAAATCAATACACATCCATAGACACTAAACACCGGCCTGAAGGGCCGACAACAAAAACAAATGAAAAATACAACAAAACAACGATCAAGAGAACAAACATAACACCAGCCTGAAGGGCGCACAATAGGTACAACACAGTTCAAACAAACCACAGGTCCAAGCACACACCAAACACACAGCAAGCACACAGGCTACGAAAAGATCTCATACTTGTCCGGCCACTCTTCCGCCGGGAATCGAATGCAATACGCCTCCCAAAGTAACATAAGGTCCTGCGAAGCAGAGTCATTATTGAGCGTACGAGGATCAGGCATTAACTCTGGCACACCTACAATAAAACACTTAGCCCGACGAATCCAGATGGTAGAAGGGCACCACGGAACAGGACGCACACGGTCATCAATGTCAAAACGCAACAGATGGTCAGCATCATTCGCCACTCAGGAGGCCAAGATGAGAGGGAGAGGCTCCTTCCCATGAGGCCGGGCAATGGGCAGCACACTGGGAACCTCCTCGGCTGCCTCACAGGGCCCCTCGTCAACCACCGAACGGTGTACCTGCTGGGACCCCCCACGCTTGGCATCCTTCTTCAGCACCAGCTTGATGCCTCGGCTCGCACCAGGACCCACACCATCCACGTCTGTAGGAGCAACCACCTCCCACCGCGTATAACCTTCTGCAGGAGAAAGAACAGGAGGTAAATCAGACGCACAACCATCGTCAACAGCAGACACATGGACATCAGCCACCACCAGCGTCGTAGAGCACGAAGCACCCGGAATCGCCACACCATCTCCCGAAGCTCCACCCGCGTCGTAGTCCTCCACATCAGCCCAAGCAGTAGAAGAGCGCCTAGAATGCTTGGGCACTGGCCGCACATCCTCACAGCCGGAGGTGGACCCAGAACCACGGGCCTCACGAACCGGGCGAACCAACGCCTGTCGTAGTACTGCAGCAGCCTCAACCACATGGGGAACCGGGCCGCACACAACAGGATGCTCCGCAGCCCCCCCAACACCCAGCACAGCCGTAACACCTGGCGAAGGTGCAGGACCAGGCGCAGCAGCAGGAGTCGAGGAAGACGCAGACGCACTCGGCTGAGGGACAACAAGCACCGGGGGCATGTCGGGTGACGCAGGGGGGCCGCATCGGCAGCGACTGGGACCTGCTCCTCTTCATCCCCGGAATCCACGCCCTGAGGGAGCGGCGGGAAATCCTCTTCCCGGAATAAGTTAACGGGTGCAGCAGGGGCCTCAGAGCACCCGGCAGCCTGATGCCCTAACTGGACACACCGGAAACAGGTACGGGGCTGCCGGGCATAATACACCCAAACATAGTAACCCAGCAGCCGGACAGAAGATGGGATATCCGACCGCAGGCGCATACCTAAGGTACGGACGTTCGTCTGCTTCCCAGCATACTTCCCCGAGGAAAGCTTGTTCACCCGCACAC